TGTGAGCTTTGAAATTTTGATGCGAATCCCTGAATTAAACCATGGATGTGATCTCTCAAATGCGAAACTAAAATCTTGCAAACCTGAAAGCTTGCGAATCTTTAATTCTTGTGAATCTGAGATCTTTTGAATCTTTAATTCTTGCGAAACTGAAATCTTGTAAATATAAAAGCTTGCATATCTTTAATTCTTGCAAAGCTAGAATTCTTGTAAATCTGAAAATATTGAGACTATTTAATTCTTGTAAATGTGAGATCTTGCGTATCTTTAATTCTTATGAATCTGAGCTCTTATGAAACTGAAATTCTTATGAATCTAAAAATCTTGTAAATCTGAAAAATCTTGCAAATTTGAAAATCTTATGAATCTTTTAACCTTGCGAATCTTTGAATTTCAAAAATTGTGATTCTTTGAATTCAAATTATGAATCTATGAGTTTCAATTGCAAATGTTGGATTATGAAATTTTTGAATACTTCAAATTATGAATATTTGAAGTTTTGAGATTTTGTAATTATTGTTAAGTCACACTCAAACCTAATAAGTGTCTATGTGCACAATTCATGTTTCACAGAAAATATGCAAAGAATGGCAACTATAGACACCCCAGTTTGTTTGAGGTTTAAAATTCATTTTATTTTATTTATTGTTTATTTATCTTTTCAGTTTAAAAAAAAAAAGAAAAAAAAGGAAAAATTCAAATGACCGAATTCAATTGGGAAGAAAGGTCAATAATTTCATGATAAGGTTGGTTTATTAGAAATAGATTTGGATTTAAATTGATGGAGATTAATATTAAATTTTTAATGATAATATGAAAACTTTCGAAAGATGGGGTCATATTTGATTTGAAATTCTATTAAGTTTTTCCTATAAATTTACCTTTAATTCATTTCCAAGGGGGAAAACAAGAATCACGCACCCAAAAAAAAAAAAAGAAAAAGATTGAAAAAATAAGCAAATAGTCTAGCAATAGGGAGCTTTAAATTTGAAGAAATTTGTTTTTGGAAATTTTGGTTGATTTATTAAGTTGTTTGATTTGGTTTAATCTAGTGAGAAATTGTGTGATTGAAAGATAAGGAGGTCTAGAAATGTTAAATTGAGATTTTGATTTTTTTTTTCAAAAATTTTTGGAAATTTTAACATTTTCTAGCGAAATTTTGGCTAATTACCTCGATTTCGACAGCCAATCCCAAATTTTGACTGAGCTTTCAATGACAAATCTCAATTATTAGCATCTTTGTCCAAAATTTGATCGATATTCAACTTGTATTCATTTGACTAGAGAGAGAAAATAGAGAAAAAGACTAGGAGAGAGAAAATGAGAGCATGGGAAATCTAAAGAAATTTTTTTTTTTTTTGCTTTATATACTTAGTGTAAATGGCGTCATTTTGAGTAAGGTAAATTCTCTAACATTTGCACGTTAACCTGGAGAGATCTGCTTGTCAACTCGATTTGCAGCACCCAACCTACTTCCAGGTTCCTTGGCTTTAGCTGAGCTGAGCCGATGACTAAGCCACTTCAACCAGCTCTCATGCCTACAACCAAGCAGTGATACCAATCAAGCCAAACCAGCTTTCTGTTTATGGTATTTTCCTTTCATTTTCATTTATTATTTATTTTTAGTTTATTTATTTACTTATTTTATCATTTATTTTTGAAATATTCTTGCATGATTAAATTTTTAGGAAAATTAGAGAAAGCTATTTTAGAAGAAATAATGATAAAAAAGTATAAAATAAAAACTTTAATAAAATTTTGAGAATAAATAATGATTATCCAATGATGAAATTTTTAGAAATAAAAAATGAGAATTTAGAAATCACAAATGGTTAATTTTTAAGAAATTTCTAGGTAAGAATTTTTTTTTCTAAATTTTATCGAAATGGAGGAAAAATTTATATAAAGTTTCAATAATAATAATTAATATTTATTTTTAAGTTTTTTTTTTGAAACAATAAAATACATAAGTTTAACAAAATTTTAGGATTGAATTAACAATTATCCAATGAAGATATTCTTAAAATTTTCAAATGGTAAATTTTTTAAGAAATCTCTAAGTAAAGAATTTCTCTAAATTTAACCCAAATGGTGGAATAATTTAGATGAAATTAAAGTAATTGTATTCTTTTCTAAATAAAAAGTAAAAATGTAACTTATACATTTGTGCGAAAATATTTGACAATTATCCAAGAATAAAATCTCAAAGAAAAATCACAAATAGTTAAATTTCTATGAGATTTTCAAGTGAAAGGTTTTTTTTTTTCTAAATTAGGCCCAGATGATATAAAATTTAGAAATAAAACTTGTAAATTAAAAAATAAATTTTGAGAATGAAATTCTTAGTAATCACAAATGGATGATTATCTAAGACATTTCTAGGTGAGAAAATATTCTAGTTTTGGCTCAAATGGTGGAAGAATTAGATATATTTTCAATAAAACAAAATTTTAACAAAAAAATAAATGATTAAGTTTTTCCGACGATAGAGCCTCTTTAAGAAAACAAATGAGATTCTTAGATATTCTCAAGGTGAGAAAGTATTTAATTCTATCAAATTGATAGAGAATCTTAAAAGTTATTTCAATATTAAATTTAAGACCATTAGAACTATAAACCTTTAGGAAAATTTAAAATTAAATGGTATACTGTCTTTTAAAATGGGCATTTTAAGGTGCTATAACCTTTCCTACATGTAACTAAACTTTTAAACCTAATTATATTCAGATTGTCAAAGCCTATTCTTTAGGGACTCTTAGTCAAGCTTATGAGCTCTTTAAAATGATAGATTTATTAGGTGGCTAATCACACTTTAAAAAAAGATTGGTGGTAATTCCTTAGGTTATGTCTAGCTATAGATCTATGGATCTATATGTTATGACACTAACTCTTAGTTTTTTTAAGTTTACATAAGTGTGAATTAATATTTGTTACCAATTGATTATTTTTAAGAGTTTGTAAATTATAATTGTAGATATAATAAATAAACCAATAATAACATGATTTAATTCCTCTTAAATTATAATGTATAAAGATGAAATAGTAAAATTAATCTATATAACCCATATAAAAAGGATCTCTAAAAGGACCAGGATATGTCACATGTCTTCTTCTTCTTTTTTTCCCTTTTATAGTAAGTGTGTTTTTACTTGAAGGCAATTTTCTTTTTTTTTTTGCTATTTTATGTTTGACTCCGTGGAGGATGAAGAAGTTTCTTTGACAGCCTTTTTTTTTTTGTGCTTATGTATTTGACAAGTGTAGGTCCTCTTGATTTTTGAAGCATTTTTTTGTTGTTTGTATTTGTGTTTGAAAAAGAGCTATTTTGGCGTCCAAGACAGGCTTTTTTTTTGTGAGTTTTTCCTTTCATTTTTCTTTTGTTATTTTTTTTAGTTGTTTTTGGGTACAAAGTTTTGTTCTCTTTTATAATTTCATTAAATGTGGGTTTTTGTTTTCTATTGGGTTTCATTGTCATCGTTTTGCTATTATAGATTGTAATTTTTTTTAATGAAGTTTGATTGTTGAATGGGTTTTGGGTTTTTATGGTTAGGAGGTTTGCATATTGTTGAGAATGTGTTTTTTTGGAAGATTTTGTCTTTGCATGTTGTGATCTTAGATGAAAAATGAGTTTTAGTTGTTTTCATTAGCTTTTTTTTTTTTTTACTTTGGATACTTTTTATATGAATTTAATTAAAAAAAAAAACTAACTGTTGGATTTTGATGATATTATGAGTTGTTCAAAGTTTTACCACGAAGTGTATAGGTTTGATATCTATTTAAAAGTCTTGATTTTGATGTGAGTTTCGTATGATTTTTAAGTTGAATGTGATGGAAAGAAGAAGCAGTTTTTGTTACGTGATGTTGTGGCCTATTATGGGTGTACTTGAAATTTTGAATTTATTATCCTATTTTTAATGTGATGTATGCATATAATTAATGAAAAAAAGTTGTTCATAACCAAAGAATGGAGTTCAGTAAGTTGAACATGGCTTAGGAAAGCTGTTGTGTTCATAGAATTAGCAAAGACAAAGATTAGATATTAGTTGCACTCAATCCATTATTGGTAATTGAACTAATTATAAGTAACAGGTTAATATTTGGTACATTCAAAGGTTGTTTTCTTAGATTTTAACAAGTACAAAGCATATAGTTAAGAGTAGAATAGATGCAACTTGCAAAGACATCTCACTCTATACTTAGCTTGATTTTATTAGGGCTTTTTTTCTTATTTCTAATAATTTGATTTTTTTAGTTGTATTATTAGGAGACTGAATTTATCAAACTGTTTTTATAAGCCTTAGAATTGTTTTAATTGTATTTGTTTCTTATTTAGATTCAAGAATAAAACAATCGTTTTATGCTTTAGACAAGTGTCAGCACAAGAATCCTTAGGGATAGTTATAATATAATGTGATGATGATATTGAAGTTGTTGGTTTTTTTTTTTTTTTTAATTTTTTGACAAAATTTAAGCTATTTTTATCTTAATGATTGCACTGCATGCACCGGTAATTATAATAAACATCAGAAATTTGACATTTATTTGTTTATTTTGTTCATAATTTTTACAAAATCCTTAAATTTAAAGTATTAATTAATTTAACATTATATAATGTTTCTGTTTAACAATTAACGTTTTCAACTTAATACTACAATCCCTCATTTAAATATTAGTTCAATACAATATAAAAAATCAAAACAAAAATTCGACTAGTAAATAACAATTTTAATGTACTAGCCTTCATATTAAGCCTCTGGTGCTTTTTAATTTAACCACTTCTATTCTTCTACCACGGTGCCTTTTAGGTGCTGACTTGACTGACCCTAGCATCGGGCTTAAAGTGTTTCAAAATATTTGGGGTGGCCAAGGCCCTTCAGGGCTCCTACCACGCACCGCCATTGCATGCAAAATTTGTCATTGCGGCTATTTTTTTTCTCTCATGCTTGTGCATTTCGGATTGTAACCATGTTCCACATACAAACCTTGCGGCCAAGAAAACTCAATTCATCTCAATTAAAGTTTAACCACAAACTAGTTTTGGAAGGTTAAATGGTTCACTGAATCAAGACCCTGAGAAGGGGCAGAATTGCCCAGAGACTATGAAGCAGAATTTATAACATATAGTAATTTTCCTTTATCATTATATATATGGAGAATCTTAAATCTACAAGGCAAATTTTACTATTTGCCAATAGACAATTTTTCATGGAAACAAACATACAGTTTTATATACCGCCAAATTTAATTTGGACTTTTAAAGATATTATTGAGCTAAGCAGAAGGCTTGAATGGGAGTATGAAGTAAAACAGGGAATATAAGGTTGCTCCCACCTGCAATAGATCCAAGGTATCGATCCTGCAAAAAGAGGACAAGAAAAAGAAAGCATTAGTCTGCAAAGAATAGTTTACATAGCAATCAAATTTTGTTCAACAGAACACTCTAATTGTGGACTTGAAAATTACTGAACTCAATTACAAATCTTCTTAACCAACAGTGATTCCCACAATTTTTCAATATAACCCTACTCTATAGGAGCAAAAAATGAGGACATCAAGTTGGCTCTCTCCTCAGCCTTGGAACTATCAACCCTTCTTTATTCAACTTGCCGAAATTCTAGGTTTAAGAAAACATAGTTCAACTGGGATAGCCACTAAACACTTGTTAAGAGATTGTGAACTGTGAACATAATAGTAACACTCCCAGATGCCACAGATGACCACAACTGTGTACGAACAGGGACATTTGCCACCAGAAACAGGAATGATACTAAGAGGGGCCAAAACTAGGTATCTCTAAAAGAAACTTCGAATAATGTAGCAACTCATTGATTAATTTGGATCTGAGCCTCAGTTAGTGACGCTGCTTAAAATTTCTCAAAAATATGGTTACCCATAAATAAAATGATACAGGGACGGCATTTTTGAGCTGACTTGAACCTGCTCATTTGGCAGCCTTAGGAGGAAAGGTTTCAGATATAGACAGCCCCATTAATTAAAATGGAAGGAAGATTTAAACTGAGCCACCTAGAGCTTCCAGCAGAAAGGAAAACAGGATTTTCACATGAATAGAGGGGCATCCTGTAAGTTAAGCTTGCATGGATTCATATTCACATTTTCTTCCAAATAGCATACTCTAAATTAATATAGTCAAGAATTTGTACTTCCACAAAGTTGGAGTGAAAATTTAACCTCTACTCATGACCTTAATGCGAGCTAGCTTCCCTGTGCTATTTTTTAAATCTATAGAAGGAGCAGGACCAATCACACAAGGATTAAGCTACCATAAATCATAGAGCATATTATCAATCAAATTCTAAATTGATCCATAGTCTCGGGAGTGAAAATTAAGTTGTCTCAACTTGAAGCTGATTCATGTAGTCATCACTTATCCAGCAGGTTTGAGATTGAAAGCATCCGCGACTCCTTTCCCTATCTCAGGCTTTGTTAAAAAAAAAAGGGTGTCAACGTATCTGTGGCTGTATTTCAGATTAATGATTTCCTCATTATTACTATCAAGCTTGCCTGTAATTTGTTGCCAAACAGAATATCTCTTAAAATATAGCCCATCCAAATGCCTAACCATCTTTATCTCAATTACCACCAGTCAGCAAACATCAACATCTGCACTACCCCATTCTAACAACACCCAATTTCCAGGACCAATTCTCCAGGTATGTAACTTCACAAAGAAGAATTAAAAAAAAAAAAAGAAAGGTAAAAGCCATGAAAATTCAGAAATTGAAGGGAAAGATAATACTACCCGAATTCACATAGAAGTAAGACCAGCCCTCAGAAAAGCCTTGCTCTTACAAACTGGAATATCTTCAAACTGCTTAGCAGGAAACTTCTCAGAAAAAGCTCCAACAAAGAACTGAACTATACCCGATTTCTCATCAGCTACAATTCCAGTAACAGGCAACCATAGGAAGAGCTTCTTAGCCTGAATTCCAGACACATCATGCACAGCCCCATAACTTAGCTTCCCTCTGATCGTCCTCTCATAGTAGACCAAATCATCAAACTGAACATAGCAGGTGCTTTCCAACTCTATGGTGAAGTCCCCAGCGGCTGACAGAGTGTACGATTTTACATTGCTAGGAAGGATACCCTTTGGAAGACCGTATGTTGGGAGTAGATCATGCACATCTGAGGTTGAGCTGCTCAATGGAAGGCCGTGGTCAATTGTTGGGTCGGCAGTGGAATAGGAGAGATGGGTTTGGAAGAAGAAGATCAGGGGAACAAGGTACAGTGAGATTGGAGCTGCCATTTGGGAGGAGATTGACTTTGAGAGAGTTGAAACTTGAAACTGGTTGGGTAGAAGTAGAGATGACTTCTGAGTTGGGCAGGGAATGTGAAAAAGCCAAAAGGATATAGAAGTAATTTGGAGAAATATAAGCGCAAAATAGGAATGAAAACTTTTCTTGGTAATTTCTACTAGATTTTTTCCAAGAGATTTTAAATGCATCACACTTTTTGTTTTTTACACCTTACCTTTTTTTTTTTTTTAGGTAAAATTATTTAATTATTTTTCTCACAAATTTTTCAAATATTTATATCTAATAAAATTTATAATTTATTAAAAATAAATTTTTGATAAATTTTATTATATCAACAATAAAATTTTGTTAGTTATAAAATTTTTTGAAAATCTATTTTCATAAAAGAAATTTATAAAATTTTAAAGCAAAATTAAAAAAAAAAGATTTTATTAAAGATTTTTATTAATTGATTAATAAAAAATTATTATTGAAAAAATAATAAATTTTAAAATGAATAAAAAATAAATTGATTTTACCAATTTGATCATAAAGAAAATATAAAATCTTATAAACTTTTAATTAAATATTTCATTTTTTAATGTTACAAGAAATGATAAAAGAATTACGACTTGATCAATATTTAAGAGCTAAAACTCTTTGAAGTTGTATAAGTAATACTATTTAATACAATAAAATTTTATCAAAATTTAATATGCTAGTTGAAGAAGCCAATTATAATAAGTAGGTAAAGAGGTTTCTTTAAAAAATTTAATTTAGTTAGAATTATTATAATTTTAATAATAAATTATAAAAATATTTATTAAAATAATGAATTTTAAATTTATAAAAATTATATTTATTATTTTACCTTTAGTTTATTTAAGATCTCATAAAATTTTATTTTTTAAAGTCAAAATAATAAAATTAACTTTTTTATTAACTTTAAATTTTATGATTTTTTTAATAATAATTTTTTTGCATGAACAAAATAATAATAATTTTTAATAATTTTTTAACAAATTTCCTTAAAATTTTATTTTCCAAGATAAATTTTAAAACTTTTTGAAAATGTAAGTTATAAAATTTATCAAATATTAATGTTTAAAAATTTATAAAAAATAATTAAATAATTTATTTAAAAAATTTTAAAAATAAATATAAAAAAATTAGGATACATTTAGGTTTCGTTTATTTCGTAAAAAATGACTTTCAAAAAATGATTTCTGAAAAATATTTAGAATTGAAAGAGATTTTCTGTTATTTGGATGGGTTAATGAAAAATATTTTTCATTATTTTGTTGTTTTTTAAAAAAATTGTTTTTTTAAATAATATTAATATAACTATTAAAACATTAAAAATTATTTATTATTAAAATATATTGAAATTATTTATTATTAAAATTATTAATATTAAAAAATAATTATATTTTAATAATAATATTTAATATTTAATATTATGTTAATAGAAAGAATACTTAGAATAAAACTATTTATTATTCTTTATATTACTTATTAATATATTATAATATTATTTATTAATATATTATAGTAATAGTATGTTATTTACTAATAATATATTATTTATTAATATATTACTATAATATTTATTAATTAAATTAAGAATATTTATTGTTATGTTATTTATTAATATATTATAATATTATTTATTAATAGGATATTATTTATTAATATATATTTATAATATATTTATAATTAATATAATAGTATTTATTAATATATTATAATATAATATAATATTATTTATAAGTAAAATTATTCTAAAAAACATTGATAAATAATTTTATTCATAGATATTTTTAAAAAAATTTTTAAATTCGTAAAATAATTTTTTTAAAAAAATAATTTTACTTTTCATCTATCAATAAATTAGTTTTTATTAACTAATTAATTTTTTATAAAATAAACCTTTAAAAATATAAAAATTATTTTTTAAAAATCACTTTACGTGAAACAAATGGAAAAGCTACTTTTTATCCGGAGTCATCGTAGTCACTTGGTCGTTGGCAGCGGGTAAAGACATCCCTAGATCTGGCAAATTGACGAGCTTATATAAGATTATTTTGGATTGATACATTAAAAAAAAAAAAAAATTGGAAAAGATTTTTTACTTCTTGCTATCTGTTGCATGGTTAGGTGGCATGGTTTTAAAAACTTTATCCCCCAGGCACTTTGTCTAAGCATAGTTGATGACCTTCTTTATACTTTCTTCTTTGTAAGACGATGCATCATCTGGTTGCTCTTTGCTCCCTTTTTTTTTTAAAAAATAAAGCTCTAAACGTTGCATTTTTAGATCATATGCTTTTAGATCCTAGAGCAATAATTGAAAGAAAATAGCTTTTATACTTGTTTAAGGCATTGGGAGGGCTGGGAATTTGTATATAACCAAAGAGATAAAGAATTAAATTTTAATTTAATTAATTTATATAATTATTTATAAAAAATAATATTTAATATATTTAAAATTTAAACGTTAATTCTTATAATTTTTTTATTTTTAAACTAAAATTTCTAATTAAAAAAAAATACAGTTAAAAGAGAAGCTATGTAGCCATATGACTTTCATGTTTACCAAAAGGTTGACCGAGCATAGCCTAAGGAAAAGCTTAAACAAAGTTTTTTAAGTAAAAATTTTTACTAAAAAAATTAAATTAAAATAAAAATAAAAAATTAAATCTGATAAATTACACAGTCTCATTGCATAAACAAAGGTGCAAAATTTTTTTAAAAAATTAATTAATTTTGATATATTTTTTAAATAGATTTTTTTAATAAAAATATTAACAAAATTTTTATCATTGAATATTTTTAATAATAATTTTTATATATTATTAATTGTTATATTAAATTCTATTAATTTATCGATTTGAATATTTTATTAAAATCAATATTTTAATAATTTTTTATATATAATTAATTTAGTTATAATTAAATTCTATCTATGATCAGATTTTTATATTTAATTTTGGAGAGATATTAACACTACATATTTTTTTGTATAAGATTATTTTATGAAATTCTATCATATAAAAAATCAAATTATGATATATATAACTTGAAAATTAATGTATGAACGGAATATGAAATAATGTTAAAGTATAATATTTAGTTTGTAAAAATATTAATTCTACATAAGTTATAGAAGGTGTCTAAAACAATTTGTTTTGCATCAATGTAAAACAAATCCCTCCTCACACACACACACGCGCACACACACATATATATATATATATATAAAACAATATATTAATAGAAATAATATGTTCATAAAATTATAAAATAAAAATATTACATGATAACATTAAATTTTAAAAGAAGACTTTTAATTACTTGAACTCTCATGATTTTTTTTACTTTCTTTTAATTTAAAACTGAAATAAAAAAAAAGTATAAACAAATCAGTAGTTAAGCAACATATTTTTTTTATCGAAGCAAGAAAATAAATATACTTTTAAAATAATATAATTGACCTTTGAGAGTAGAAGTTATAGTTATTTTAAATATTTTATAAAATTATTCTAAGTTTATTTTTTTTAAAGATTATAAGATAAGATATAGATTTAAAGTAAAATTAAAAGTGAAAATATTATATGAAAAGAAGAAATTATAGTAAGTTTTTTTTAAAAAAAAAAAAGAAAAAAAACACATATATGTTTAATATTTAATTGGAGACTTGGAGTTTTGTTAAAAAAATTAAAAAGTTAATTTACTTTTATTAAATTTCACATGGTTATAATTTAAAACTTATAATAGACCTTTTGATTTTTAAAGGTTTATAAGTAATTGTTGGTGGATACAATAAATAGACAAATAACAATATGATTTTAATCCTTTTAAACTTAATACATATAATTAAATATAAAACCATAAAAATTAATCATTTTAATTTTAAGGGATTATTTTAAATTTATTTAAATTTATATATATGTATACTTCAGGGTTACTAAAATATTTTTGGGGGGCCAAGGTCCTAAAAACCATCTGCTCATGACACTATCAGTTTATTATTTTGAATTTTTTTAATTAGATTTTTATTAAATTATTTTTAAAAATTTCTTAAATTTCATTTAAAAAATTTCTCAAATACAAGCCCCACCCCCCACCCCTTTTTTTAATTTACCCTTTAAAATATTAAGACAATCAGTAACTTTAACAAATTATATGAGTATTTTTGGCTATTTAGCTTTTAGGGCTTCTGAGATTATATATATTCTTTGTTACATTTGAGCAATTTCGATAAAAAGGAGGAACTAAAATCTTGATTTCATTTAGTTACTAACATCTATAGAATTATTATTATTTTATACCGCAATACATTTAACGTTTTTTTAAATATACTCTAGAAACGAATTTATACTATCATCACATGTCTATTTAATAATTATTGTTTTTAGATATATTTAAATCAACACGGATCAACTCTTTAGCCGACCTTCGTTGTATTGGCTAATAATCATTTCTAAATTCTATGTACGAAGGGCCATGCCATGAATGCTTTTCACTTGGTTAAGCAAGTAAGGGTTGGTGCATAGTACGGCAGTAAAGTGGGCGATATGCCTTCGGGATTCATGCAAGAGCAACATAGTAATGCAAAACCGTGTTGGCAACATTGTTCTTGAGATCTCATATTTAAAAAAGTTCAAAACAGGGGATCTAATACTTCTACTAAAATACAATTCCATTATATAGACAATGTACTTATAACACAAGCAGATAAGCTTTAGCCAGACCCATCATTCTTGAGTCTGAAAACTACCACCAATAAATTCTCTCCCTTTCTTTTTCTTTCTTTTTTTTTTTTTCTTACACAAATGATAGATAAAAGCTTACTCTACCGATTTCCCATTTAGCAACAGCACACAGTGACAGCTACTCTGTAATCAGCATCTGAATTTCGTTTGTAGGCATTGGAAGCTGCAATAACAAATATGGGATGAAATTAAACCACAAGAAAGTCAAATCTCAAGCATCAGGAGTACTCAAATCATCAAAACAAAGCCCCAAAAGGAAACTCTTAGGAAGGTATATTGGACTATAAAAAACATGTGTTGATGGATTTATCAGCACTAATCCGAGTTACCTGCACATGATATTTTCACTTAAAACTGACTGTGATAGACAAAGTCAAGCTACAAAGTGCATAGCATGGAAACAAAGCAGAATTAATCAATTAAAGACCCAGTAATCCAGCCACCATTCCAAAGGTAAAAGATTAGAGAGAGAGACTGTGAGACCACGGTCATGGCCCGGGCTTCCCTATGAACACAATAAATAGTTATGAAAAAAGCCAATAAGAGGCAAGATTATTGTGAAAATGCTTGATGCCATACATTCCAAATTAAACCAAATGACAACCTTCATTGAAGTGTGAACTGTGAACAAGTAAAATGTTGTTCTTGCAACAAATAGGAAATAAAATTTGTTCACTAAACATCCATTTCTCTCTAAATGAAATCATAAAATAGAGAAGCAATTTAATCTAGATTAAGGAATGCAGGTGTAGACACTAGGTAGCACACAGAAGGACCTCTTTCATAGGAAACTGAGCATCATGAATATATAAATAAATATTTCTAGCCTACTTAGATATTGTATTAATTTTATTTGAGGAAATCCACTGCCATTTTAGCATCTTTTCACAGCCATTCTGATCTTTTTCCTGCATTACACTACCGAATTAAGAAAACAACACACAAAATCATGTCATATCAACATTTTCATACGCTAAAAAAGTCTTTAACCAATTTTCCGTGAATCTAGGGACATATTTACCTCAAACATGAATTTTATGACACAGATAAACATTCAGGATTAAAAGAAGTTCCACAACTTCAAATTGGCAGTCAAGTCGCTTCATAGATGTGGATAGGGAAATGATATTCTATAGATAAGAGGAAAAGATAAACTAGGATGAGGATTTCGAATATGATGTCAGATGTCCATGAAAATAAATCCCTATAAACAAATGGTAACTTAACTTCAGGTGAAACATGATTCTTGGATCATCAAAAAGCAAAGTAGAAAAAGCATTTTGAATCTTAAATTAGATACTCAATTACCGGGTAATTTAACCTATGAACCATGGTGCAACAATAGTTGAAAATGGGTGATGGTCCACGATCTATAGGAGCCTCCATTATTCAGTCATATTTGAAACCTAGTCAGGATAATTAAAGGAATGTGCTGAAGAACTAAATGCTTCAAATTCACCTGCCTTTTAGAATGTCTCATGCAAACATTTTCATACTGTTTGGCTACTCAGCAGATAGGTGGTCAAGCATTGACTCATGCTGATAAAGGCATATGAGAAATCAACTCAATCAAAATTTTTATCCCTAAAATGTAAACATAACACCTTGATTCTTTGCCTATCTCAAGTTTCCCTTACTTTCCTCCAAGTTGTCGACTACTCTAAAGAAATTAATGCTCGTTAAATTGGAATTTACTAGCCTATGCCATTTGCAAGTCGAACTGTCAACTGTCAAACAAAATAGCATTACCAAAACTGAAAAGGTGTTAAAGAGGAGGATGTGAAGGTTAGAGATTCTGTCCCACCTCCCTTCCCACATATGAACCACCCTAGAGCTGATCTTACGAAATTTCAAGGGCCGGCTTATTTTTGGGAAAACGTGTTGTTCATTTTCCATCTTTACTTTAAAAATTATAATTGAAAAAAAAGATAAATACTGCTTAAATTAAGAAGCCTTTGTTTTCCAAATTTTCGGAAAAGCAGGTAACTAATAAGGTCGTTTTTCAGTTAATCGTAAATCTAGGGAATCCAATACCTCAACAACACGTTTTAACCAACTCCCATAAGAAAGGAAAGGGATTTAACAGTAAGTCCAGAAATGTTGTTGAAACATGCCTAACTATAAGAATCCAGATAAATAAAATTAAACAAAAAAAAATTACACACACACACATAGATTTCATTCAACCAGCTGAAACCAAAATTTCAGGAAAAGAAAATGGAATACCTGAAGAACCGATTTCCAAGAATACCCACAAGAGCCCATAACCCCATCACGGCAAGAATGGATGGTCTCGAACTGGTCAACGTCGAGCTTCTTGTTGATGAATCCAACTTGGAAATAGATGGAATCGGACGGTGGCAAATCCACCTTGATCTCATCCACATCGAACCACAAGAAGAAGCGCTGCACCTGAATACCTTTCAAATCAGTAATGGAGCCATAACCCAGTTTTCCGGTGATGGTCTTTTCGTAGTAGACCAAGTACTCGAATTGAACATAGCAAGGGCTCTTCAAAACGACGATAAATCTACCGTCGTTTTGGAGGCTGTAGTCAGTGACTGTGCTGGGTAGCAGGCCACTTGGGAGGCCGTATTTGGGAAGGATGTCCCAGACCGTGGGTGGGGCAGGCGTAGGCTCGGGGTCAGGTTCAGACTCAGGATCTGATAGAGATTTGGGGATTGAAAGGAGGAAGAATAGAGAGATTAAAGCGAGACCCAGATGGGAATTTAAGTTTTTAGCTGCCATGGTTTTGATGACGGACGAGTAGGAGGAAGAAGAGAGATTTGATGATGAAAGTCTTTGTTGAGTTTGGTGTTTTTGAGGAAAGACTATAGCTGTGTTGCGCATGAAAAAGTTGAAATTCTAGTAAGAAATTGAGTTGTGTTTTGTGTTCATTTGCCTGCTTGGCGTTTCTAATTTAAGTATTTAACTGGTTTTTTTTTTTTTTTATTTAATCATTTTTGGCTATTGAATTGGGAGGGTTTTGGTGGAATGAGGAGCCGATTAGAGAGAAATAAACGTGTTTTACTTTTTTTAGAAAAAAAAATATTGTTTGAACAGTTTCTTTTTATTCAACTCTTGTGCTAAAATTGGACTTCAATGTAATAAAAGGAGGTGTTTAAACATTACGACGACATTTTTGAATTTTTAAAAGACAATAAGTTTCCTTTTTTTTTTTTTTTTTTTGGAAAATTTTCCTATTGACCGACATTGTCAAAAAAACTATAAATATTGAAAATTCCTTTTTGAAATAGTGATAATGGATTAAATAGGTATGAAAATAAATGTGATAGTATGATTTAAAAAGTATTGACAAGAATAAGAGTTGGTCACATGAGTCATATGACTTGAATGGAGGGAGGAATACAAAAGAAACGACCTTTTTAATAAGGTAACATAGCGATAGCATTTTTTGTCAAATAATAATAATAATAATAATAATAATAATAATAATAATAATAAGTTTCATAAAATATAATTTTATATAATTTTTAAAATTATATTATAATTAAGTATTATATTTATATAATAAATTAAATAATTAATTATGATATCATAATCAAATTATCATAAATAAATAATCAATTACTAAATGAGATAATCAAATCATACACAATAAAATTTAAACCTATAATATTAAAATTCCAAGACTTATTGGCATAATTTTATACAATTAAATGCGCCAACTACACCTTATAATTGCATCAATGCATCTAGGGAAGAAAAAGCAAATATTGATCTTTTATCATTAGTTAATCATGATTAAATTAATCTTTGTTAAACATATAGAATATCATGCAGTAAAAGTAAGGTGAAATGTTGGTACAATTTTTTTAAAATTAAAATCGAAATTTTGGTTTTGCAAGTTTTGAAATCTTAAAATTTCAAAATTAAGTTTTGTTATGTATGAATTTAATTTAATTTTATGTCAAATTAATTTTTGCACCGGCTTAAATAGCTTGGTTATTTTTACTATTGTCTTAGAAAATTCAAAAGATAAAAAAAAATTAAACTTCTGTGGAGCTTAAAAGCTCAAAGCGACTTAAGAGCACGCTTTTGTCAAGTTTGCCTTACGTTCTGTGCTTTTATTGTCGGTTTTCTGTTCCTTGTCAGCTTTCTATGTTGATTCCTCTTTGTTTTCCATCTTGGTATTGGTCGAGCTGCCTGTTTGTTTCCTAGTTATACCTTTCATTGTTGTAACATAACATTATCGTGTTGTGGATTGGTCTTCTCGAACTTTTTCAACCCCTTCAAGTGTTGGGAATTTCACATTTAAGTAGGGAGTTGAGCCTATAAGCTGCATAACAGACTGGCTGGATCAGTAGAATATCATGTTGTAGGCAGATGAGATATCTACTACCATGAACTCTACAACCAAGGTGATCACCTTTGGCTATGATCATAGGGAGATTAAGAGCTTAATAATTCTTTTTACTAGCACCTATTGATTTTTAAATCTCACTAATGTTGTAGTGATCAGCTTTAACTAATCTTCACCAATCCTCATTTTCTTAAAACAGCCATAGTACATAATGTCAGTCAAACTCCCACTGTCAAATAGGATTCTTTTAACCACATAGTTGTAGACGAAGGTTGTGATTATTATGACATCATCATGTGGGTGTTGGATCCCCTCTAAATATTTCAAGCTAAACGAGATTTGGTTCATCTCTCTAATCTTTTTTTTTCTTAGCCGAGGCACCTATTGCCACTACCGAGCACGGGTTGAACTTTTTTTTTGTCAAGGTGGAACTGCCTTCTATGATCACATTAATCACCCAAAAAATTGGCCTATTATTGTCAACTCGACCTTCTTTTTAACTCGACTCTTCCCCTTGGGTATCCCTTCTTCCTTAATCTGATCTTCTCTTTCTACCCCTAGTGGGTGCTTTGTGGTCATTTCTATAGTATCTTATAAACCAATTTTATCTTTTCTGCTTGACAAACCTTTTCAGTTGACTTCGCTTAACTAGAGCTTTAATTTTATTTTTTAAGTCAATACAATCGTTTGTATTATGGCCGATGTTTCATTAGAAAGCGTATTTTTTGGTCAGATCCCACCTTGTATTCTGTTTCAATGGCTTAAGCCATTTGAGATAAAATTTTTTTTTTATTTGCATCGGAATCCTCTTACAAAAGGTATTCAATGCAGTGTAGTTTATTTCTTTGCTAAGGTTTCTACCCTTGTGTTGTCTCTTTCTTATGGGAGAATCATATAATTCTTTACCTTTTTACGACCAAAGAGAAGGATGAGCCTCTTCACCTCAGCCACCTTATCATTGACTCCACTGGTCAATATAGCAACAATGGTTGTCTATTCTAGGTTTTGACCTATAAAGCTTTCCTGTTAAAACATTTAATATAATTTTTAAAATTTCATTTCACCCTTGATGAATTGACATATACTTAGGTTGTTTTCGTAGCTCTTTGGCTACTCATGAATCGAGATAGGAACGAGTGACTAAGTTCCTTGAAAATAGTGATCGATTTCGACTCTAGACTGCTATACTAAGATCGAGCTACGCCTCTCAAAGTAGTCGCCAAACCCTTGCACATTAGGACCTTATTTGTCTAATGTATCATCATATTAGTTCTATAAAGTTTTAAATAATCAAAGGAGTTAGAAGTAATATCATATGTCTCCAAGATTAGCATTTTGAATCCCTTGAGAGGCATAGCTCATTGATCTATTTGTTTAAAGGTGAGGTTTCCAAAAATTTGAGCCCATCCTCAAATGCTGCTAATTTTATTTTCAGTTCTTTCTCCATAATTTGCATTCAAGCTTCCAAATCTTTGATCAATTAGGGTTCATAGTTTATTTGTTTGAACTTTTGGATTATAACATATGTAGAATTGTAGTTAGGGTAGTGAAGGGTTAAATTGATATGCTTTTCTTCTTTGAAAGTCGAAGAGGCTTCTGCCTCTTCATAGTTCGGCTGCCTGACAGCAACTTTTCAACCCGGTGTGACTAAGTCTGACATTTTAAAGATTTATGGTGGAGTTATAGTTTGAAGCATCTGTTTGAGGGCTTTGCTCGGTCAAGGGTTGAAATTGCTCTATGGTTAGCCCAACCTATGGTTGAGCTGGGCAGATAGAATGTTGGCTTTGGTGAGTTTTTGTTTCAACGGAGTGGCTGTTTCTCTTTCCTCTTGGGTTTTTTTTTTGGGGGCGGTATTGTTTTGTGCTCGATTATTATGAAAACGCTGGTCCTCTACCTGGCACACCAAATGTTGTGTCAAGCTCCGACCTTAAGGTAATCCAGTAAATGCAAAAAGGAAAGATGATTAGAGACAAAAGTAGAGGTATTCCTTGCATTTGCACTTCGATATACAAGTCAATAAGGATCAAGTTAGAAAGGAGATGAAAAAGTAAAAAGAGATAAATGTATGAATTAGATGAATTTGGTAACATGGTGCCTAAGTCTCCATATTTCTAGATTAGGTGAGGGAGATAAAAAAGAGACAATTAGGACAAGACTGAGCTGAGGTGGCATTGGAGATGTTAGATCGACATAAATAACCAAGATACCTTTGGTTGTCTATTGAAGACTAAGAAAGAAAAAAAATCACTATCTTTTTTATCATTATATGCCCCTAAAAAAGCTATTTGAACATTACGATGACATTTTGAATTTTTAAAAGACAATAAGTTTTCTTTATTTGTTTTATTCGAAAAATTTTCCTATTAACTGTCATTGTTAGAAAATTTATAGATATTGAAAATTCTTTCTTGAAATAGTGATAATGGATTAAATGGGTATGAAAATAAATGTGATAGAATGATTTAAAAAGTATTGACAAGAATAAGAGTTGGTCACATGAATCATATGTGACTTGTATTAGAGGGAGGAATACAATAGAAATAACTTTTTCATAAGGTAAAATAGCGATAGCATTCTTTGTCAAATAATAATAATAATAATAATAATATTAAGTTTCATAAAATATAATTTTATATAATTTTTTAAATTATATCATAATTAAGTATTATATTTATATAATAAATTAAATAATTAATTATGACATCATAATCAAACTATCATAAATGAATAATCAATTGCTAAATTAAATAATCAAATTTATACATAATAAAATTTGAACCTATGATATCAAAATTCCAAGACTTATTGACATACTTTTATACAATTAAATGCGTCAACTATACCTTATAATTGCATCAATGCATCTAGGGAAGAAAAGGCAAATATTGATCTTTAGCATTAGTTAATCATAAGTACGTCAATCTTTGTTAAACATATAGAATATTCATGCAGTAAAAGTAGGGTGAGATGTTGGTACAAGTTTCTTAAAATTCAAGTCGAGATTTTGGCTTTGCAACGTTCAACAAGTTTTCAAATCTTAAAATTTCAAATTTAAGTTTTGTTATGTATGAATTTAATTTAATTTAATTTAATGTCAAATTTATTAAATTATATATTAAAATTTCATCCCTTTGTTGATTAATAAAATATATAAGAAAATATATAGAGAGTTACAATGGAATAAATTATTAAATGTATAAAATTAATTATTAATCTTATCAAATTTTGTGTTTAGTGCATGCAAACTATTTTGATATTGGTCATGAACCATGATTATATCTTTATCTTATACAAATTTGTAAAGAAATCTTGAATGTTTTTTAAAAGCCAGAACTCGGCATAATCAATAATGTACCAAAAAAAAAAAAAAAATCCTTAATAGCGTGAAGGTTGTTAATTCTTTCTTTTTAGATCGCTTTCTTCCTTATACTTCCTTATATCTAAAAACAAAAAAAAACTTTAAAATAGAAAATAATGTGAAAATGTTTATTAATTGTTTAGTTATGATATAATTTGTAAGTTAATTATTTAATGATTATAGTTTGATTATGATGTAATAATTGATTATTCAATTAATTTTATGATATTATATTTGATAATGTATATAATTTTTAAAAAATTATATATTTAAAAAATGATCTTTAATTT